AACTTTAGAGTATATTGAACTCATAAAATAAATGGTAATATGAAAATATAATTTTTTATTAAGATAAAATCATATTTTTTAACAGTTATATTGACAGATATCAACAAAAAGGGGTTACGTGTTACACGTGCATAAACGTTATGAGATGTAGGAATAATATTCTAAATGTGAAGGGGTCCAGATGATTAAGTGACAAGTATAAGGGGATCTAGGTATAATTGATCAATTTAATTTTAGGTGCACATTGATACAAATTTCTATCTTTGAGAGTGTAAATTAAATTTTTTTATCTTTGGGGGTGTAAATTAATACAAATTTCTATCTTTTATGGTGCAAATTGAAATTTTTGATCTTTGAGGGTGCATATTGATACAAATTTCTATCTTTGATAGTACAAATTAAATGTTTTGATCTTTGAGGGTGCAAATTGAAATTTAAATAATCTTTCAGAGAGTAATTTACAATTAACCCAAAAAATTATAACACAAATATATATCATCCCTTCCCTTAAATGTCCATTCCCTTAAATGAGTAGGTTTTATCAATTTTTTTAATATGACCCACTTACTCAACGCTTATCTAAATTATATATATATATATTTAAATTTTAACTTTTAGATTTGATTTGAATTCTGTAATATATCTATACTACTTATAAATGTCAAAATCTGTGAAAAAATTTTAATTTCTTATTTTATACGTAATTATTATAATAAGATCAATTATACCCTCTTATATATTTTTATTTTTTACACATATTTAACTTTCAACTTATAATAAACTCGTTCATAAGGACATCTAAATTCTTTTGAACTTATTTATTAGTAATATAATTATATACAATTATCTATATTTATATGATCTATAGTAAAATATATGCTATATTTTATTTTTTGGTATGTAATAAAATAATAATATTATAAGAGTGGTCTAATCAATTTATTTAATAAAATAAAAATTGTTAATTTTATAATATAATTTGATGTGCAAATATTTAAAAGGGTCTAACAGATACCTAAATAAATGATAAATTAATTGCTTAAAAATTTATAAAATAAATCAATAATTAAATTTAAATATAATTAAAATATGAATNTTCCCTCTATCCATGGTAAAAAACAAAAACAAAAGTTAAAATCTTTTTCTCGACAACATTAACACATCTTTCTTTTGTTTTCTTCTCACATAGAAAATTAAAAAATTATTAATTTAAAAAAAAATATTAAAAATAAAAAGACCTTCATTTAATATTTCTACTTTAGACCTTAAATTGATTGAGCCGCCCTTGATGGAAGATCATCTTGTTTTTTTATTTAAAGTCTTCAAATCTTATTTTTATGATATTTGATTTAAAATTCCTCTTTTTGAGGTAAGTGCAATTAGTAGTAAAAAAAATGGAGTATTAAAATTTGTTGATATAATTTTTTAAAAATTAAATAGGTTAAACGAGTCGTGTTGTGTTACCCGTTTATTAAACGTGTCGTGTATGAGTTTATATATTTTTCATCCGTCACCCGTTTAACCCGACACATAACCGTTTAATCCGACACGATTGACACCCCTAACCCCTAAGTACGGGTTTAAATAAAAGTCTCTATCAATAATGTTGAATGATCCACCAAAACAAAAACAAAAAAATATTTATCAGTTTCCGCTATGGGTCACTGTCACGGGTCCAAGTAACAGCCTGCAGAGACAAGCAAAACTCCACTTTTTGTTTTTTTTAAAAAAAATAAAAATAGAGTAATATTACAAAACTCAAACAAAATCTAAAAAATTAGGGTTAATTATAAGTTATACCCCAAAAGATAGCTCGAATTTCAATTTAGACCCCGAAAGATAAAAAATTTTAATTTACACCCTCAAAGATAGAAATTTGTATCAATGTGCACCCCCAAAGATAAAAAATCTCAATTTGTACCCTCAAAGATAAAAAATCTCAATTTACACCCTCAAAGATAGAAATTTATATCAATGTGCACCTAAAATTAAATTGATAAATTATACGTAGATCCCCTTATGCTTGTCACTTAATCATCTGGATCCCTTTACATTTAGAATGTTACTCCTACATCTCATAACGTTTATGCACGTATAACACGTAACCCTTTTTCGTTGATATCTGTTAATATAACTGTTAAAAATATGATTTTATTTTAATAAAAAATTATAATTTCATATTACTCTTTATTTTGTGGGTCCGATGTATTCTAAAGTTTAAAATCAAACTTACCATTTGAATCTCCAATAGAATGTAGATAATTATATAATATTTTTATATCCAATGCAATATATCACTTAATGTGCAACTCTTTATTCTATTACACATTCAAATGATAAGCTTGATTTTGAACTTTAGAGTATATTGAACTCATAAAATAAATGGTAATATGAAAATATAATTTTTTATTAAGATAAAATCATATTTTTTAACAGTTATATTGACAGATATCAACAAAAAGGGATTACGTGTTACACGTGCATAAACGTTATGAGATGTAGGAATAATATTCTAAATGTGAAGGGGTTTAGATGATTAAGTGACAAGTATAAGGGGATCTAGGTATAATTGATCAATTTAATTTTAGGTGCACATTGATACAAATTTCTATCTTTGAGAGTGTAAATTAAATTTTTTTATCTTTGGGGGTGTAAATTAATACAAATTTTTATCTTTGAGGGTGCAAATTGAAATTTTTGATCTTTGAGGGTGCATATTGATACAAATTTTTATCTTTGAGAGTACAAATTAAATTTTTTGATCTTTGAGGGTGCAAATTAAAATTTAAATAATCTTTCAGAGAGTAATTTACAATTAATCCAAAAAATTATAACACAAATATATATCATCCCTTCCCTTAAATGTCCATTCCCTTAAATGAGTAGGTTTTATAATTTTTTTAATATGACCCACTTACTCAACGCTTATCTAAATAATATATATATATATATATATATATATATATATATATATANATTTTAATACGTAAAAAATATAAATTTTAATTAACTTGATTCGAATTTCAATCGGCGTTAGCAACTCAGGTTGAGCTCGAATCGACTTGATTTTTAATACATAAAAACAAAGAATTTTAATAGGCTCGAATTTTAATATGTAAAAAAAATTAAATTTATTCAGCTCAAATCGAATTTTAATCGACTTAAATTTTAATATGTAAAAAAATAAATTTTAATCAATTAAAAATTTGATCAAAATTTTTTGTAGAAAAATTATTTGAGATTTATGTAGGGGCAATTTTGATATTTTAGATGAATTGTTTTTGATAGAAATGGTGGGTTAGCGACAAGAGATATCAATGATTTTTAAAAATAAATTAGAATGAATGTCAATAATATTTTAAATAATGGAGGGAGTCTCGTTGAAAATATGACTATCTAGATATGGCCGGATGATAATTACCCAAAATTAATTATGAGCTCTGCAAAAATTTTCTAACATGGTAGCTGTAAGTAGGACCATCAATGGTTATGAAAATCGATCGAAATTAGGGAAATTAATTGCAAATCGATTTTTAGATTGAACTTTTTATTTTTTAGTAGACTCAAAAATAGACCGTAAAATTAAAACTTCAAATATACAGATCGAATCCAATTTCGATTTTTTAAATTGAATATGCATTCAAATCCATTGTAACTTGTAAGTCAACTATAGAAGTAGTTATTTTAAGTTGTAGAAACCCATAATTTTCACAAATTAGCTTACCTTCAAACTCTGACAATAATATAGGGTACAGTATAAGGCAGGGAAGATGGGCATTTTTGCTGGTTTTGGTCTATAGTAAATAATTGGTACTTGAAACTACTAATAAGCCCCACTCCTCCCTCAAGTACCCTGATTTGTAGCATAAGTTACTCTCAAGAGTGGGACCCATTAGTGGGTTGGTCCCCCATGGAGCCCCAATTTTGGTCCTCCTCTAGACAGTTGCTTCCTATGCACTAAAGCATAGAATACCTTTTGTTGTCAAGCCTTAAAGATATGTTGCAACTTGCAAGAACCTTTATTTTCAAAGAACTACTAAAGTGAAGATGAAAATATTCAAATTAATCCAAAGGTATAGGTAGTGTGACACAAATTTTTGGGGAACAACCTCAAGGTCACTGGTTCAAGCTCCCACATTCGGCCAATTTCACCAGGGGATTTTTTTGAACTCGCCTAAGGCATGAGTGCTTGGAGTGTGTGTGCACCCCGAGGTTTACTACACTAAGTTTAGATCTTGTTCTCTTATCTCTACTAGTTCAAATCCTTAATCATGGGTTTTGCTTGATTTTCAGGACCAATGGACCTTTAGTTCAATGGTGCTCTTTCTCTTGTGAAGACTTTGTCTTCTTAAGGTCAAAGGTTCAAGTCCCTTATCTCTCTCTTCCCACCCCCCCCCAAAAAAAAAAACTAATAAAAACTTGTTTGGACACTAAAATTTGATTTTATAAAAGGTTCACCAGTGGTCTTTAAAATTCTTTAATCTGAAATTAGTGTGAAAGAAAAACCTTGCACTGATAGTCCTCTCCAGGCAGAGCAGGATATGATAAAGATTGGATTGGGTGGATAAATTTGTTGGATTAGGCTTTCAACCTATTGGACCAAGCTTCCAAACAAACGTCCAATTTCAACTAATGGTGAGTGAAATCCCAGCCCATATTAACACAGCTTAATCCACCTAAATAAAGTTCATGACCCATGTGCCTTCTACCTCCACAAGGTATTGCTTCGACAGGTTTTCGCCCATTGCATAAAATTCACAAGGGTTCGATACATTTGTCATGTCTTCTATTGAGTCCTTCAACGTATTGAATTTCTACATGTATCCTATCCCATAGCTAGCTAGCAACACCTTTCACTAAGTCCTAGATTTCTTACTGCTTCTAATAAAGAAGCCACAACAGAATGTAGTAAGGAAAAGTAAATATTCAGCCCAACAATTAACACTTCCTGATCCTTTTCCCGGCTGAAAGCAAAGGATAGTTTGGTTCCACAAACAGCAAAGTAATACAGAGAAGTTACTTACGTTTTCCCCCTTTCATAGGCCCGTTTACATAAGTAAAGTTGTTCTATTGGGATTTAAACGTTACGATAGTCTCTCCGCATAAAGCGCAAGACTATGCACATCTGTTCCTCACCAAACCCTACAATAACCAGAGCCCAATAAGCACGGTAGATGCTTTCAGTCCTAGGATCACAGAGACAACAGAAGGCCACAATCAAATAAACTACCATTTGAATAACACAAACATCCTGTTAAAAAAAATAAAGAATAATATGACCACGAAAAGATGAATATCTGCTATTACTTAGAAATCGTTACAACATTTAAGAGTATTCATTCCAATTCAAATTACAACAGAGAAAGCAGGTAAAAATAGGTATTCATTCCAATTCAAATTACAACAGAGAAAGCAGATAAAAATAGGTTTAATAGTCTGTCAATCAATGACTCAATATACCTTATCGGCATAAAAGAGGACAGCACCTGCATGCCCTCACCCATATGTACAGCCAGATCTATATTCACTAAAAGACATCAGGATGGGAACGCCCTGGCATGGAGTTGCTTTGTTGAGCCTGCTTGAGGTGCATTGACAGAGCATAGTTGTTTACCTGATGAACATCAAAAGCATATTAAGTTCAATGATTAAAAATGTACCAGTATGGTGCAATTTATTAAACTTTTCACTGATACAAAAATCAAATTGTGGCCTTTCCCCCTCTCTATTTTCCATTAATTTTTGCCTTTCTTCACCATGTAATGTTCTTCTGGAGGAAAGCATCTATTAGGACTAGGAGGGATAACCAACAGAATTTACTCATTTGTTAAATTATTTTTTTTTAGTTTCCAATAGGAAACAATGCTGAACAGGAGCTATCAGAACTCCAATTGGATTCAACATGCATATGGATTTGAACTCCACACAAACATTAAATCATGAAATTTCAGAGGCTTTTGAGTTTGTTTGACCTCAAGAGTTCTCAACTGCTCCTGGTACTGAGTCACCAGCTGTTTCAGGTGATGCAACTCCTGGCCCCTATCCTCGAATTCTTTCTGACGCTCATGTTGAAGGGACACTGCTCGCTTTAGAATAGTGTTCTCCTGACACAGTCCTTCGACTTGTTGCTTTAGCATAATGTACTCCTGCCACATGCCAAATGCAAGTATGGGTTACAGCAAAACATATAGAACAAGAACCACTCTTCATTACATGCAATGCTCCTACTCCCCAAAGCCAGTAAAGTGCTAGGAAATAAAAAGAAAGGAATCTAGAAAGGAGGTCCATGAAATAAATAATACTACAGCAATACAAGCTGTATTATAGGGGTTTCCTGTTTACAAAGGAAAGAAAACTTTATTACGTAATGGATAACCACCTGCTGGAAATTCTGGGCTGCTTCTTTTGTTGCACGTTCACAAATTGACTTCTCCAACACTTCAAGTACTTTAGATACCCGGGCTCTGGCATCATCCATATTAGACGAGTTCTTCATTTCTGTAACAAATAGGTCCACCCAGTCTGCACCATCCATGGGGAGGCTTTGCGAAGCAGATGGATCCTCTGCAGGTGTAGCCTCACCATTGCCGGTCAAAATACCTGTGACATAAATATTAGAACCCTATGCTTTGAATGAAAGCAGACGTCCATGGTAAGTTGCCCACAATTTACAAATGCAAGATCTGATTCAAAATCAAGTCCAGGAATCATGCTCACTGTTATGATGTATTCTCTATATCAAAGGTCAAGCTGGCACATTTGTTTGGACAAATTTTCAAATGACAATGGAGGCTTCACAACAGATAACGTTATCCCTAGATGAACAAATTATTGACAGGGAATCAATAAACAAACACATAAATGAATTGCATCAAATCAATTTTAAATATAATCAAAACTAGCAAACCTGATGGGGCAGAAGGCAGTCAAAATGTTAACTACCAATGACATTCTAATTATCAATCAATCAATTTCTGCATATTTTAGGCAAGGTTCTTTCCTTCCTGAATTGCAAGAAACTGCTCCTAAATGACTGAAATTCCTTATCACTGAGGACGCAGGCAAGATTTTTCCAAACCACATAAATTTTGTTGTTCACGTTTCAGTATTCATCATTAAGTATCTACTCACAGCTTGAGAGCAGTGTCAAATACTTTGACAGCTATGTTAGACTTTTCTAATTATTATTAGCAATTGTTCTGTTCTACTAGGGAATCATTAATACCAAGAATGATTACTACTTCATAAACAGCACAAATCTAAGGAAGCATCAACGACATAACAGACACCAGTATATCCAGGGGGGTGGAATCCCAGAAACAAAAGGAATGTCAAGCTTTAGTGCAATAAATAGTTGACACTTGACACACAATCAACATTCACCTGGAGCTGAGAACTGAATTGCTTCTTGTGTAGCGACAGATTTGCCAGCAGCAGATCCCAGGCGTAGCTCATTCAGACTTCTGATAGCCGAATCCAGATCACCACCACATTCTTCAAGTGCTCTCTCAAGAAGCTACAATTTATGCCATTTAGGAAAAATTAGTAACTTGTCAAAGAACCTAAATCAGTAATCGCACATATGCTCTGGGGAAAAAAAAACAATAATTAGTAACTCGTCAAAGAACCTATATCAGTAATTGTACATATGCACTGGGAAAAAAACATATTAAAAATGTAACATGGAAACTTCAATGACCATGTTATAGACACACTCATATAAATAACCAGCATGGCTATGACTTTGTTTCTCAATTACTTGACATAGTGGAAGATCGTGAATGCAAGACATTCTTAAAATCTAGAACAATGAACACCATTGTCTCTAAACCAGATTCCGGGTTTTCATCAATGATTCTTCAATCCTCCCCCCCTCCCCCCAACTTTTCCACAATGTGCAAGCTAGTCACACCTAACATATCCCCATATTTAAAGACATTTCAGCCAACTTCGATTAGTTTACACCACACGACATATTACAGTTATAATAGATTTCAAATGGTTCATGAAGTCTTAGAACTATATAGCTCTCCGAGTTTACAATACAGGAAAAAGTTGGCATATTAACTCAAAAACTAACTAAATCAAAATAGCAATGTAAAGGAAATGCTTCCATGTCACTCATCCTCATCCCACAATAGTCGGTTGAGCAACAGACATAGAACTAACATTAAAGGAATGCTAGTGATTTAAAAAGCTAATTTCAGCAATGAAGAGTTAATGATAGGAGCAAACTGAAATAACGCCTCTTATAACACAAGAAAATGGCAGACAGACTTTACACATTAGCAGCCAACAAGCATAAAAAAAGACAAAGAATATGAATCCCTCATTGACACAGAACAATAATCCGATAAAAAACTTGGCATCTCCCATTGAGCTGTAGATTAAAGCATTGCCTATTGAGAGATAACAAAAATCAAAATTATCTTCCGGCCACAATGATATCCAGCCGATCAATGATAGCATAAAAGCTTTCACATGAAACCTAACTTCATTTACGCAATGACACACAATGGGACTGGCCAATCATTATCCTAAAGTAGTATCGTAATCTAGGTTTAAAAAATAATGGCTTGACTTTTAATGATTGGATACTGCAGTAATTCCATATTGTCATACATCATTTACATCCCTAAATATTAAAAAAACGAAAAGATGCGACAAAATTTCACCATGAAGAACTGAATTCGAATTTCAAGAGCCATGGTTCCTCAAAAGAGCCAAATCACTATCTATCAAAGTAAACAACAAAACGAAAATTTAATCAAACAATCACAATAATCTTCATAAAAATTTCACAATTTGTAAAGAAAATGCACATGCAAGAATCCCACAAGAAAAGTGATAATACAGAAGAAATAAAGATATAAACACAGAGATGGCTAGACCTGTTTTTCCATGTCAGGAAAAAGAGCAATGAGATGATCTAGCTTCGACAGACACTCCAAAGCTGACGAAAAATCAATCGATGAATTCCGAGGAGGCGAGCCGGTGGATTGTCTGGGAGGAGAGAATCGAATAGGGGAGGAAGAAGAAGAACGGCGAAATCGCTTGGAAACAGGGTCCTCGTCGAAAAAAGATGATCTCTTTCCGCACACTATGGCAGACATGTTGTGTGCTCTGCTCAGTTTTTCTCTATCCTACTCCGATCGTTTTGCTTCCTCTCCCTCTGTATCTTTCATGCAGTGAATCAATCAGTCAAAATTCAATCAAACAGATCTTTCTCAAATCGTTCCCTTCACCAAGAGACCACTACAAACAAACAACCAACTTGTATGTATGAGATGGAATCGATTGATCTAAAACTCAACCACAAATCCTTCCTAAATCGATCGATTCCTGACGAAAACAAAGAGATAAGGTTCTATCTCTATAAATACATAGAAATAAACGAATTTTTTTATTGAACGGTTGAGGATTATAGAAAGATAGAAAATGGAGTTTGATTTCACTCTCTCTCTCTAGAAATGTGGAGATTGAGGAAATGATTGGTTTTAGTGATAAATACGAATGAGGACTTGCAGAGAGATTGAAAAATCTGAATGTATACGTATATGTATATATCAAATATATATGTGTGTGTAGTTTCTCTCTCTACAAAGATATAGATTAGGGTTTGGTTTTAAGGATGGAGAGGGATTTCATTGGCTCTCTGCTGTCTTGTCTTGTTTTGAAAGGAGTGGTGATCAAGTGACGGAGTTTGGTACATAACGCTGGGCAAGGACCATTTAAAACATGCCGGGTAATGTAAGTAACTTTTGTGGAGAATATTTTTGGTATCTTCCGTCACGCTTTGCCTCTTTCGGAGTCGTGTGTGACTTGTGTTATTTGAAAAAAATTAATCATGCGGGAGGAGAAAATATTTGGTACGATTGTTATACCATTTCATCGCTATAATATGGTATAACTATTTATTAATAAAATAATAAGTAATTAAGTAAATTATATAAAATTAAATAATTATTTAAAGGTTATATTATGTCAACATGATAACATAGTATAACCGTGATACAACTTGTCTTAAGAATAGAAAGTTTTTAATTTAAGTCTAATTAAACACTCACATTGAACCAAAAATAGAAGTCGAATTTATTATGGTCAGTGCCGAAATTAAATTTAAAAGTTATTTCTTTCATTAATCAAAACTAACTAAAAAATAGAAAATTAAATTTCACATCTACGATAGACTTAAAATATCAATAACAATGGATAAGAAGAATGATGTAAACACCCTAACATTTTATATCTATGTATGTACGTTTGTTTGGAAGCTTCATTTTTTTTTTTTTTTCCAAATTTTAGGTTGGACCTTATTTCTTAAATTTCAGGTTGGTTTATGTTGAACCTGTCAATCCGAAATTCCAACCTGAGTATTGCCCACATTAAATTCGACTTAGTTTTTTTTTTTTTTTGCCTAAGACCAAGCCAAGCATTAAAAATCGCATCCCAATTATTAAAAAATTCAATTTGAATTTGGGTTAGTCTGCCCAATTTACATCCCCGGAATGCAATGACCACTTATAAAATAATTATAATGCCCACAAATTATTTATAGTAATCCCATGACTTTATGTTTCATTATATTTAACTATTTTTTCATAAAGTATCACTTTTATCTTTCATTATAATTTTCAATTCCTTCATTAATCTGATCCCCTGTCAAATTTTATTCCAAGTTCAACCTACAGCGATAAGGTAAATGAGGAGGCCCAATAAATAGATTAAAGCACATGATAAAGAATAGAAGGAATCGAATGATAATTTAACAACCCAAAGATCAATAACGAGAGCAAGAATAATTACAAGTACATTTTCAACAATAAGATCGAAATCGACACCACAACTCTAAATTTTTTGATTTGTGTTATATCAAAATTTGTTAAACTTATACTCAATTTAGTTATGATCGTATATAGTCAATTCATGTCCGGCTAGATTCATGTCATGTATGGATTACTCAAACACAAGTCGTATTTAACTAGGTTTGTCGATTTATTTACTTGACAAATCTAAAAAGTTACCCACTTTCTACCTAAGCTTACTAAAGTTAAACTCAAACTCAAACTCATCATTAATTTTATGTCAATTTTGAATTGATTCCTACATTACGAGGCGAATTACGAGGCGGCATAATCTTTACTTCTAAAAATGGGAACACCTGGCCAACAAATAAGAAGGAAGACAACTCCAAGGAGTAGTCCACTCAAAAAAGATGAGTTATAATCCAAACATTCAGAGTTTGAAATTTAGTAACTCCTCTCTTGTTTCGACGTGGATAATATGTTTTTAATCATATCGGAAAAGAGGAGATTAATAGAGGTATACGTAAGTTCACTAGAACACCCTTGCTTGTTCAACCTCGTATAGAAGCCATCAAACCTCAACAACTCAGATTATTACTCTAATGCAAAAACTATAATAATAATGAGTTTTCTACAATTCCAATAAATTTATAATGTTAGATCTCGTCCAATGCTCTCTCCTCAAGTTTTTTTTTAATGATATATCATTAACAGTGCTCTTGTGAGAGACTTATATAAATTGACTCGTACTTGATGATTTACTATAAGAAAAAACATTGAGAGAAAGTGCAAAATAAATCTAAAATTGATTACATCTCTACAATCCATTATGCAAGGACTCTATATGTTGAACAACGGACACGAACACTAGATAGTTCACTACAAATTTTACCTATGTCGATGGGAGCAGCTCTTTCAATATATATGGGAATTTCAACAGAATTAAAACTGATTTGTAGGCAGTAATTGAAAACTTTTAATCCAACTCAATCACCTACACCTAATCCCAAAATCAAATCCTATACTCCCCTAACCTGTGAAATTCTACCCATGCAACTAACTGACAATAAATGCCGTTGACGGGACATGGTGTCACATCGTTACGTTGTGCTCACATTATATTCATTCGTTAATCCCCTTTTATGCTAGCAATTTTGTACCGCCGGTTGGAGGCCTTGTCGGAATGCCCAGAATTCAGCTGAGTTTCCAATGGACCATATAAGGGCTGAGTTTTCCAGGGACCGGTGTAATGCGGCATTATGCTGTGGTATTCCACGTTTCTTGTTAAACCTTGTGTTCCAACCTATTTGATATGGGATTATCACTTTCGTGGTTTAAAATATAATTTTTTTTGGATTAGTTCATTACTTAGCTGTCAAAAGAATACTCAGATATCTAAAGGGTACTTCTCATTGTTGCCTGAACTACAATTCTTCTACCCCAGTCTCTCTCACTGTTTTTGCTGATGCATACTAGGCAGATGATCCTTCTGACAGAAGGTCTATCACTGGATTCACCGTCTTTTTAGGCTCCAATCCGGTCCGCAAAAACAATTCAGTGTCCAGATCATTTACAGAAGCTGAATATAGGTCCTTAGCCATTACTGCTACAGAGCTAGTTTGGCTCAAAACTTTGTTTCTTGACTTGCATCTTTACTTGGAGACCAAGCCAGTTATCTAGTGTGACAATACCTCTGCCATTGCATTAGCCTCCAACGCTATATTTCATGCCAAAACCAAGCACATAAAAGTGGACTACCACTGTGCCATGGATCAAGTCACTAAACAACAACTCGATATTCAGCATGTCCAGTCTCAACATCAATTAGTTGATCTCTTTATTAAAGGACTTTTCATTGAACGGTTCTTATTTCTTTCTTCCAAACTTCTGGCCTCTTAACCCATCAGTTGAGGGGGCCGGTTGACAGAATGAGTATGAGATATCATATATCAGAGCACACTAGCTCATTCTCCAGCTCGATCAGTCACACTAGTTACACATGATCACATAAGCTACACTAGATTATAGCTCATCCAATTGATTTTTTATTCAAAAAAAAAAAAAAAAACTGATTGTCCACCTCGGCATGGATTGTAACTAACCCCGCTTGCCAAAGGTGAGAAGTTCTAGCATTTCTATCTTTACTGTTATGCTTCATCTTCTTTATTCTATCAGTAAAAGGGCTCCCAAAGATTGCATTTGTGGTACAATATACGGGGAAAAAAAATCTTCGACACCATAGACTTATCCATTTTTTGAAGACAAAAAGAATTTTGTGTTAACCCACACGGATGATGCAGTGGCGTGGGGTTGAGTTTGGGATGAACCGTAAACTTGAACGTTCTCGGTTCGACTTTCGCTAATATCTCCGAGATAAACACATACTTGTGTTAGAAGTTTGATTGCAATTCGGGATTTACTCTGGAAAAGTGGGTTTAATTAAAATGACCTTATTTTGAAGAGGTTGCTCATCACATATATTTAATTTTTGTGTTACCACAGTGTGGAACAAGTGAACGAGAATAATATTGTTGGTAATGCAATATTGTTGAATTGGGACGTTGTCTGGTTTTAAAGATTCTACTTAAACCAAGGTTGTAATGGTTAATGGAAAGAAGTTATGAGTTGTGTAGGCTGGGACGCACCAAGGATTTTATCGTTAGGATGTCCAATAAAAATAGTTGCACAGTTATTTATAAAATTATTAAACAAGCTATCGTTAATGTCAAATTTTTACTTATATAAAACTAGGAGTGGACACTGACTCCCACGGAGTTAGAATACATCAATCCGAGCTCCGACTCCGATTTTAATTGGAGTGAGTTTTTTCCTCCAACTCTACAGTACATTGCCTTCGCTTTTGCTAATCGGAGTCGGACCAAAATTTCAAAATTAATACAATTAAAAAACAAATACCAGAAAATGCACATAAATTTTAAAATGTAAATAGACACACACATACACACATATATATTTATTTATTTATGGAGAGAGACCGTTACTATTTGAGAGAGCTTTGTTAGAGATGTTTTGTTGAGATCTCAGATCTCAAATTTGAGCGTTATTCAATTGGAGGAGTGAGAGAGATGGAGGGGTTGGGTTGCTCGTCCTTGACTAAGAGTGAGAGAGAGAAAGTGGAGAGAGAGAGTGAGGGGAGATCGAAGGGCATTGCATCGTCTCATGTGAGAGAGATGAAGGGGCTAGGTTTCTCGTTCTTGACTAAGATTGAGAGAGAGATAGAGGGGTGGGAGATTGAAGGGCGTTGCGTCATCTCAGACAACTCGTCTGTCGGTCTGTGTATTTGTGTCTAAGAGAGAGAAAGAAAGGGAATGTAGTGTTTAAGGGCTGGGCTTAGGGGCTTAGAGCAACTCCAAAAGACCAGTTAAAACCCTATTTTTAGCTATTTTAGATAATTTTTTCTTAAAATGTGATTCCAACAGACTAACTATTCTCCTATCTATTTCTCATAACTCCATTTTCACTAGTTACATCTAGCTATCCGCTTCTCACTAGCTACATCCAACAAAATTTCCCAAAATTCCAGTAAACTCCCCCAAAAAATTCAATAAAACCTTCCAAAAATTCAATAATCTTCCTCCAAAAATCTGAATTCGATTATTTGTGTAATTTGAGGTCATTTTGTTTTGAATTTTGTAATTTAATATGAGAGAATTTAGTTTGGGAGTAGTAATTTTCGAGATGTGAGTTCTCTCTTGTAGCCTATAATTGATTAAATTTGTACAATGTATAGTTGAATTGCTATTTTTTAAATTTTATTATAAAAAGTTAGTTAAAATTAGTTGAATTAGTTAGTTAAAATAGATAGCGTTGTTGAAGTGAATTAGAAAAAGTGGTGTAAAGTAGATAATACAA